AAAAAGTACATTAAGTCATAATCATATTTAAATGAATTTTTTTTCATTTGTTAAATTATTTTTCTATCGAGAAAGTCTAGAATAGTTTTAGTTGATAGCTTATAAAAATTTTCTATCAAAAGTCATTAGAAACAAATCTATTTAAGGTTGGTCTCTCTTCAAAAAATGTATAATTTTCAGAAAAATATTATCTCTACGTCTAAACTTATTTAATATTATATTTTGTTTCTCAAAAAACGTACTTTTTAATGAGAAAAATAGAAATAACTCTTGCTCAATTCATTATAACAGCAAAGTTTGTTTTTGTCTATTTCAACTCTATGTGTACTGAGTATTGAAGTTAACTTTAGTTTCTTATTACAATGATTTATTTTTGAAAATATCAATCTAAACAGATCATCCTATATGTTATATCAATTTTGAATAGAATTATCATATGAAATTTTTTTGTCTTTGTTTTTCATTTAAGTTATGTGCATGTAATTGGAAATAGTCGTGTGATTCTTGGATAAAAATATACAAATATTGGTTCAGGTTGTTCAAAAACAATGCAGTTATTAGTTGAACATGAACAATTTGCTAAAGTTTGTTGTTATTGAATTTGTTGAACCACCAACAAATCTTCAAGTCAATAGGTTACATTCATATTGAAATGTACTAATATGTAAACCAACATTTTTTAATAAAATTGATGAAGAAAAAATGTTCTAAGAAAAAGACTTTTATTTAATCTTTGTTGTTTTTTTTCATACATTTGTACAAGAAAGAAGAAAATTTGAGTAAGAAAAAAATTCTTTAGTTATTGAAAATTAATTATCAAGATAAAATTTTAGATTATAAGGATTTAATCAATCAGATCTTTTTATTTCTGTTTAACAACTTCAAGTATATTTTTATTGTTATAGATGAATAATGTAGTATTTTAAAATCTATTTTAGATGTTTATTAATGAATATACTGAAATTTCATACGTGAATATTTTTATGGTTCAACATCCATCTCATACACTTTTACAACAAAATGGTTTTACTCAACAAGTTTATCTTAAATATAAACAAGAATGTCTTGATGATAAAAAAGAAACATTGATTGTAGAGAAAAAAAAAAGATTATTAGGTCAGTACATATTTACAATATTTCGAGAGAAACAAGCTACTGGTAAAAAAAGATTGAAATTATGTTGCATTACACGTATAAAAAACGAGTCTTTTAATGAATAAAGAAGAGTCAACATATCGAAAAACAACAGCGAAAACTACTCTCCGGTACAAATCAGTCTAAAAAGACATATTCTTATTTAAATAACTAATAGAGAATATGTCTGTTGCTATAATTTTCAAAAAAAAAAAACAAAGATTTTACTCTTTTATGGAGTTTTTTTAATAAATACTATCATTCTTATCTACATGATAAATTTGAAAAGCAATAAAATAATTGTCAACGATTAAAAACACTAAGTTTCATTAATCGCCAAACTTTATTATTTCATAGAAAATATTTATAATCTAAAGTTATGTTGATTTACAAATAAAATACATTTTGTTTTCTGTAATGATCTAATTTCTAGTACGTGTTAAACTTGGTCCTGGTCAATCAATGGAAATGAATACACTCTATCGTTTTTAGTCATTTTTCTTATGTGAAAATTTTAATCGTCATATGTACAATGAATTTAAACAATATGCTGTTGAAGACACTAAAACTGATCATCGGCATATAAATGAATTGTTTTTATGAAAAATAATAAGCAAAAAAATTGAGTATTACTATTTATGTATAGATATGGTGTTGAATGTTTATTTCGATTTTATACATATGGTATAGAAAAACATTTTCGTCAACATGTATTTGAAGATTTTCACCAAGAAACTCTTTATGATCATGAAGCTGGTAATAAAAAAGATTACACAAAAAAAAAAAGAAAGGTATCAATAACAAAAATAATTTTTCTATTTAGGTCAATTATATGGTTTAGAAAAATTCTGGGCATTTTTAAAATATTCTCGACAAAAACTAAAAATCAATCCAAAACTTGAAGATTTTCGTCTTGATGGTGCATCATTTCCACAACAATTTTTTCCAACAAAATCAAATTATAGTAATTGAAAAAATTTTGTTTTTCTATGATATAAATAATTTCTTTATAGACTGTTCCAGCACCCGAAGCAATTGTCGCTGCAATAGCAAAGAACAGTAATACATCAAATTCATTAAAACCCAATGGTGAACAATATCTGAACGGTGCTAAACTTTATACACG